GGAGCGGCCCCGCGAGGGGGGAGACGCCGTCGGGCCGCAGCCGACGCCCGGCTCCGCTGAGCCCCGCGGGCTCCCGGCTTTCCGTGAGGCGCCCCGGCTGCCTACAGTGAAATGAAAATCCGGCGTCGCTCCCGCGGCGGGGCCCAAGCTGGACGCTGACCGAGGTGAGCCCAGCTGCAGGGCAGTAACAAAGCGCGACGGGCAGCTCGGCAAACGCGCGGCCGCCGCGGCGCGGGAGGACGGGCTGTTCGCCCCACGGAGCTGATCTAACGTTCAGCGCCTGGCTTTTCGGTACAGCTCATTTACCCGTAGAAATTGCAGGACGGGAGCGAATAAACTTTATTAGATCCCAGAGAAAAATAATCGGTGACAATTCTAAAAATACACAACATAAAATAGAAGGAATGCTTTGAAGACACGACAGTTAAGCAAATATTTAACAAGAGTTAATTAAAAAAATAGGACGCGAGCAAGGAATACCAACTGCGGTCATAAAAACCAGTTATTTCACTTAATTCACATCCGAGGACTTCAAAAAAAAAAAAAAATAAAAAAAAAAAAAAAATAAAGAACAGTTTGCATCCAGAGATGAAAGACATTTGTCATTTAGAAGACACTCTTAGGAATGAGAGTACTTCAGCTCAGCAGGCTGACACCTTCCTTCAATCACATCTGAGTCGCTCTTTCTAGACTTTTTGCAGCATCTTTTAGTTTTCCAACTAAATCCTAAGAGATGAAATACTGTCTTAGAATAAACGTATTTTTTAAAAGGTCAGGTAGGAGAACATAATATTTTTTTATACAGAGAGTCAAGGGAAACCAGCACCTTATACCACAAGAAATGTTGCAACTGATATTAAATAGTAATTAAATCCCTATCTTACAACGTAGTAAGAAAAGTGGGAACTGAAGGAAAACACTTTTTAACATATGTAATCTACTAAAATAGATCACTGCTCCTAACACGTAGATTTTATCGGTATCGTTACAATGGCTAACGCTGACACTTGCTCCAGGCTTTGAAGTACTATACACATTTCTAAAATACTGAAAATACTTTGAGTGTAATTCTGTACTGGGACCCTCCTCCAGCCAAAGCACATCAGCAAGTCAGCAAACCGATTCAAAACACTCATTATTAAGCAAAGAACAACTTTTGAGACACACATTTAAAAAAGGAGAGGTGTAAACCTGAAGTTTTAATATCTTGCTTTTCCTCTTCCCCCCAACCCCTCTTCCCAATCCTCCACAGTTTGGTCACTTCCAAGCATTACAATACCTCTATTGTTCAGTTACACATTTAAATCGCTAAACAAAGATCAACGTTTGTTTCAGTACATTTCTTACATGTCATTAACACCACTGAAGAGCCTTCAGTTCGTTCTCTATTTTTAATCATGACACATTTAATTCATTGAACCAGCTTCTTTAATCATTTCTCTAAAGCATGGGAAATTCAGAAAAATTATGTATTTCCTCCCATGTGTATATATATATATATATACACACATTACAGTTATGAAAACAGGCAAAATATTTATGTACGTCTCTAAAACACTCCCCATGCAACTAAAATCAGGTACTCTGCAACTTTATTTGAGAAGACAGGAAAACTATACTCGGATAATTTTTATAGAAGATTCTCCCCTACCCTCCCAGTCCTGGATTTTTATTTTTTTTTTTAATAATTGTATGTATGATTTCATTTTGATGGGCAAGTTGTTAAAAACATTTCCATCCCCAACTGGAGCTAAGCATAGAAATAGTAATGAAGGAAAGAAGAAGTACCTGTAACTGCTCCATTGTGCAACTAAAACTAACATCTGGGTGTGATCCTGAATCACTGTTCTGAAGAAAAAAAAAACCCCAACAATGCCTGTTTTATTAAAAAAGTATCATGAAATTACATTTTTTTCCTCTGAGGGTGCAGGGTGTACAGTACCTCTACATTTAAGGTCACCAAGTAGGAAGGCTGGTAAGTTTTATGAAGTTGATTGCTCTAAATTAAAAACAAAGAGCATAGAAAAAAGTCAGGTCTCAGCACTGAACCAGACTAAAGAAACACCTTGATGTGTTAAAATTACCTTGATTTGATATTCTAAGCGCCAAGACACATCAGTTACATGGAGAGGAGATCTGCCTATGCTGAAAGACACAAGAGTTAAAAGTTCCCTGCACTACAAGAAAACGTCATTTTCTCACGCTGTCCATCAATAAAGAACTTTTTCATGATCCTTGTAATGCTTCTTGAAAAGTTCAAAAAGTTGCTGTAGAATTCCGAAAGGAGGAAGAAAAGTTTCAACAGCTGTTTTCTAAAGTTTGTTAAAAATGTACTTTTTTTTTTTTTTTTTAAATGGAACGATATTTCTTACTTTAATCACCTCAAGCATGCATAGGTGTTTTCCAGGACAGTTTCAAAATAGCTGTAATTGAAACTATATCTCTGCGCTGACTGATTGACCTACCTTCCCAACAGGATTTCCAATGCCTCCTTGTTTTTCTGGAGGAAAAAAAAAAAAAAAAAGAAAAAAAAAATTGCTAGGTTCAATAAATTCCTATGAGAGAAAGAAAACATAAATATGTTAAAATTGTTTTAAAAACCTGATATTCGGTGCAAAATTGTTCTATTCTCTCTTTATCCAGTTTACAGTCTTCTAGACATGTGCTACAGGGAAAAAGAATTTATTAGTTTTCTGTTAACATTAACTCAGCAGTACACTTTAAAGTAACAACCGCTAGAAAAATGGGGTAGCTTCAAAGTATTAGTACCTTATAGCAGATATGTCGGCTTTCTGCTTTCCTGCCTCCAGAATACACGTTGCAGCCGCAGCATGGCAATGTTTTAATACCGTAGGGTCAATATCTTTCAGGTCTGGATCGTCTAAAACAAATGAGTTACTGATGACACACTCATTCGCCAAAACCCCAGCGCACGGTACCGAGAGCCGCCGCTGGCCCTTTGAACGGCATCTTTCCCACAAAAACTTCAAAATGAAACACGTCTGGTGTTGCAGAGCGAAAGGACGGGGCGAGCGGGCGCGGCGTGAGGAGGAGGAGAGGGGCTGAAGCGCGGGCTGCTGCGAGCCGCGGGCGTGCC